GTTTCACCACTCCCCCCCTAGATGGGATATCAGCTCATCACAAGGTTACCCCCCAGTATTTCATCAGGCTTCCCTGAAAATTATCCAGTACCCAGTTATACTCCTCTCACTTTCGATTTAATGCTACATGACTTTGTATATTCTCCATCAAAATTGCAAGTATTCCTCCAACTGAAGTCTGGGAGAAAATTATTATCAATTGCATTAATGGTTACATAGCCAGGGTTCATGTTAAATTTTTATTTCATTTAGTAGATGACAGCAGATCAAAGAAGTGCTTGAGAGATTTAAATGAGGAGCTACTTTGTTGTATCTGTCATGAACTGATAGTATTGGCACACACTTTGCCTTACTCACACACTTTCTGTTTTGGTTGTATCAGGGACTGGCTTTGGTAAGACATATCACAGAGCATTTTTTTAGTTCTAAAGTCAAAGGGTGATAAGCATCTAATTTCTCCTTACAATATCACTCTTAAATCACGCATTAAAGTTGTGAGAATAAAGGAAACGGTAATTGTGAAGAAGAGGTTCCCCAAAAAACCTGTCGGCCGACTGTCGGTCAACTGTCGGCCGACAGGTCACCGACAGTCTACCGACAGCTAACCAACAGGTTACCGACAGGTTAAGAAAAAAGAAAAATTGTGTTAAAAACGAACAGTTAACGTGACATAACAATCCGTAATGGTGATGTATGACTCGACAGACTTCACCTACTTACCGATCGACGGCAAAGTTGAAAGTATGTAAAGAAACGTTTCTTCCAAAATGTTGTTATCAGATGCGTATAGGATATATCACTTGCGTGATTTACAACACACCAGACAATCTAAGAATCGCATTGGAAGATAATTTAATCGAAAAACTCGGCCAAAAACTCTGATAACCATAAGCTACGTATCAATACAAACACTTTCGTTCAAATCGCCCAACAATGCAACGCTGCCTCTTATGGTATGTTATGTATCAATAATGTTTACCTTGTGCATTTGTGTTGCTTACATCGTCCTCTATCTTGCAGGTTTGGGATGAATTGCTATTTCCAATTTCAAGTTTAATAAATGATACAACTGTGAATCTTTTTACTCGTTATGTTAAGTAATAAATTACTATACGCAACAATTCGATAATTAGACTTGGATGCGTGATGCGATAATTGATTTAGGTGCGCGCTGCTAAAATCACGATTCTACGAGTGAAGTATCTTGTATATTTCACCACTCACAAAACGGCTCCTTTAGGAGCCACCAAATCTTGAAAGTCAATTGTCAACGTATTACACATGTTGGATGTTGTATCAAGTGAAAACCGAGAGAAAACATTAAGGTTTGTGTTAATGTTTCACGGACAAGCTACCGACAAGCTACCGACAGGTTACCGACACATTACCAACAGTCGGCCGACTGTTGTCCGACTGTCGGTCCACTGTCGGCCGACAGGTAGCCTATATTTCGGGCAAAATCTGTCGGCCGTCTGTTGGCCAACTGTCGGCCGACAAACGGCCGATAGTCGGCCGACTGTCGGCCGACAGACGACCAACTGTCGGCCGACAGTTGACTAACAGTCGGCCGACAGGTTTTTTGGGGAGCTCTTCTTCATGACCTTAATGTGTGATTCAGGGGTGAAATTAGGAGAAGAAATTAGATGCTTGTCACTCTTAGGGTTGTAAGGGTTAACAGTTGAAGGAGTGATAAGAGAAAAGCCTCAAGGCTATTTTTGGGCAGAACATCAACTTCCCTTTTTTTTGTGAGGTAATACAAAACAATTTGGAAGGAGAATCTTGTAGTTCATCACAAGTCACGTAAGGCTTTTTTTCCCTCCACCTCTTCAATTTTGCTTGTGCAGTTAGTGAAGGTTAAGGTGAATTGTATCCTATAAGACATTCTCACATTATTTTAGGGTAATGTTTGACAGATTGTGACATCCCAGAATTGCTTGTCTGTCAAGACCAGTCTGTGTCAGGTCTAGATGTGTTCTATACATATTTAACATAGTTACATATTTTGGGGCTCTTATCTGTGAACTGCACCTAAACCTACTCAATGACTCAATTCTTATTCAGTGCCACATGTAAACAATCTTTTTTTCATTTCTGTGACATGTCCTGTATTTTGTGTATCAGAAAGAAGAATTTAATTGTAATGATAGTGGGTAAGTGCTGTTGTTTGTTTTTAATTTTTAGCTGCTTAAGCCTCCTACATGTGACTGGTGGTGCGTTAAATAGCTTTTTGTGATGCTTTCAGTGCTACACTCCCACAAAAAAAGGGCAGCATCTCCATCTGTACCAACACCCCATACTCATGACCCCCTCCAAGGACTCTGCCTAAAGAAGCTGCACCCGAGGTAAGTCTGGACAAGCTGTGAATTCATCAGATAGGAAATTTTAGGAACAAACAAGAAAGTTAAGTATAAGATGGCTGCTTAACCTGTTGTTCCTTTAAGAGTGACTAGCATGTAATTTCTCCTTTCAATATCACCCCAGAATCAAACATTAAGGCTATGAGAAAAAAAGGAAATTATTGTAAACTAAATAACCCCTCTTGATTGTTAATCAAATTCTCCTTGTCAGCTCCTTGGGAAACGTTTAAAGAACAGTTGGGGGAATATGCATACTGATGTTAGGGAGTAAGGGGTTAAAGGTCTAGAGCTCTGGGTTCAAGACCTGGACAAGTCATTGTGTTGTGTTCTAGGGTGAGACAGTTAACTATCAGAGTGCTCCTCTTCACACGCGATTATAAATGGGTACTGCTGTCAAGGAAACCTGATGAAATGCAAGGATGGTAACCTGCAATGGACTGATATCCCACCTAGGGGGTAGGGTTGTAAAACCAAACCCAAGAAATCTCAAAGACCAACCAGATGAAAAGAAAATAGCATGAGCAGCTAATGAAAACTGATAGTGAAAGCAAACAAACTGGCTGAAGCATGGGAAAATGCGGGTAATCAAGTCACACTTGGTTGGAATTTTGAGTCTGATTGGTTCAGAAAGAGATGCAAGCTTTCTTGACCAATCACAGAGCAAAGTGAGTTAAAACCAAAGCAATCTCAGATTACCTTCAACATTCCATTAATAATTGCTTGAAAACGATGAACATGTTGAAAAGGTTGTTAATTAATTTGTTACATTTTACAGGTCAGAGCTGGAGCAGAGCCTGGGAATCTTGCTGTTGGTGACCCAGAAGTGGTTGAAGTGGGGCTTGCTCAGGTACCCTTCTAACACTTTTTCCTCTGGGGCTAGTGATTATTTATCATGGTGGGGGTAGATAGGGTTGGAGGATTTTGGTTGTGTCTCAACGAAATTTACCTGATCCCTCCATAAGGTTTTGCAGTATTTTTATGATCCTCCTTCTCATTCACAGTCAATTTTCTATAGTCCCCTTTAATACTCTGTTGGTGACAGTAGATTTCCCCCACTATAACCCCCCCGCCTCCCCCC